GGGCTCAGAGAGGAAGGGAGGGAAAAAAGGCGGGGGGAGGAGAGAGGGTGTGAAAGAATCAGAGAGAGAGAGGGCACTGTACAATGGGCCGATAAGCACTCAATCTGGTGGTGGCACTATAAATATTGTGTTAATTAGAAGACGGTGAAAGCACCTTCTACATATGGCTGCTTTCTAAGGATCCACCTCGTCTTCTACACGAGGTTCTTTCACAAGCCCAACCCACCTCACAGCTCTGATCACCCCAGACTTCCCTCTGCAGCTTATGTCCTCATTTTCAATGAACTGCTAGAAAATCATCTCAATCCCTCAGGTTCAACTGAAAACCTTGGGCATCGAATGATGATCTGCTATGCTGTACCCTTCCTTTGGTGAGCTGGGAGAAGAAATCTAAGAGAAGAAAGAATAAGGAAGAAGAAAAGCAAGCGTGAAGAGCAGAGAAAGATGTGAAAAGGAGCGGAACCAACACCCATCCTCATTCACCTGGGAAATAGGTCAGGGCTCCAAAACTTCCTCCAAAGAAGTTCTGATTTCCGCAGTGGATTCGCTAGGTCCACGAGTTTTTTTCGCTTAATGATTATCATGGAAAGCCCATCAACATAAGGTTCTGTTTGATGCTTTTTCTTTTACAGTTACCATCAGACAATGTTTTACTTTTTGTCTTAAAAACTCTTGTGGGGGAAGAGAGACAGGTAAATTACAGCCCACAGATGAGCCATCCTGATTCCTTCAAGGCTGCTTAACTCTCCCCTTCCCCACTTCTGTGACTTATAAACCCTAATAAGACATCTATAATCTCGCACCATCATGAAGCTTTTGTTTGAAAAACTTTAAAGATTTACTCTTTAAAGATCTATACCCACTGCCTACAGAAAAAACATACAAACTCAGACCACATCCAAAGTCTTAATGAATCTGGTATGAATCTACGTTTCTAATCTTGTTCCTGGGTAGGACAGATTTTCTTTCACACTACGGTGACTTGATTGCAAGATAATCAAAGTCTGACATACTGTACAGAGCAGGTAATAAATGCAGGAAATGGCTAGGCTGTGAAAGGGACAGGTTGACGGGGAGAAGCCCAGAGTCTGAGAAGGACAGGCCTGCCTCTTCACCTGCTCTTAATCAGCTTGAAAGAGGACCAAACGATGATGAAGACATGAATTGTAAAAAGAGAAAAACTGGCAACAGCAGGCTCTTTCTATTTTAATCATTCCAGAATCAGCTCAGGCCTGAGACTTCAGCTTTTTACTTAGGGTACATCCCGGTGCTAATGACTCACTACTGTGATTCAGAGGACGGCAGAAAATGAAGAAGTGTAGGGCTACGGACGGCCTGAAGGTTTTCTGCAGAACCACACAAGAACTTAAAGCTCAATAAGTAAGCAATGTTTTCTTTAAGGAAAAAAGTCTTACTAACGTGTAACAAATGTAGTGAAACTGTGGAATACAGAGTGACTTCCTCCAAAGAAGATCTCTCACAAAAGACGTGAAGAAGAGAAAAAAAAAAAGTCATGAAGAAGAATAGTGAGACATGAGGTGGGAATAGGACTCAAGGAGGTGCAGACTAATATTTCTGAAGTACCCACTTAAATGGAAATATTTCACTTGTGTACTATATCAATTATTATACAATTCTGCCAACTTTCAAGGAAACAGTCATATTTTTAGGCCTTAACTGTTGGTATTCAAAGCCAGAACTGTCAATGGAAGAACAATGCGATATAAAATAGGTATCAATGTTACATGTGAGTAATCTCAATCTTTATGCAAAACCAAATGCCCCTTATACTTTCTGGGCAGCAACTGGAATCCCCAAGGGATCGCAAAATGGATCCTAGCTGTTCTGGGCAAATCAACTCATTATTGCTCCTTGAAAGCTAAACACACTTCCCTAACCCCTCTCCAACCAGGAAAAATACTTAGTCCTTATTCTCTTCTGTGACATCACTCCCAACCTAGCAAAATACTATACTAATGTAATTTACCCTCCTTCTCCTCTTTTAATCAGTGGGGTATTTTTAAGCTGGGTATTCAGAAACATTTCTAATCATGAAAGGATGGGTGACACAAGGAGAGAGAAAAACTGGCCTAAAGCAAAATAAATCCACCCATAACTAAAAAGAATAAACCCAAAGCTGGCAGCTTTTCAGAAAAGCATGAGTAAAGGTTTTGGTTTCTATGACAGCAGATAACACATTACTTATGTTTATACAAATGTCTCTTTATAAGGAAAAAAAAAGCTCTTTCTCTTAAAAACACAGATTGAAATAAAATCACTTCCTTACTACGCATAGTATGTTAGGAGAACTACTGATTTCAGAGCTAAAAGGTGATCTTTTATCAACAGGTTTTCTAACATTCCTCCAAAACACTGAATATTATCTATGCATTTTTTAGGAAGAATAAAAATTTTTAGTATTTTAACATAAAACCAAAAAGAAACCCCAAAAAACAAAAAAAGGAAGTTGCTTGATAAATATGGGGAGAGGAGAAGTCACGTTGAGCAAGAGACATCTGGGACAAGTTGTGGCTTTATGAATCTCAGACCTCAATCCTATAATCAGTGGTGTGTAAACCAAACACTCACAAACAACACCCTCCTTTATAATTATCCTTATCTAAAGTATACCATATTATGTTAAATATTTCATAATAAAAGTGTGCTTTTCTGGAAAAGTCGGAAACAAAATATCCATTAAATTCCAAACAAGCACTAACATCTATGGTAAAACGTGAAGGAAAACTGGGATAGTTATCACCGACACTAACCATTTTAAGTCAACACAGTTAGTCTCATCTAACTACCGTAGGATAATAATAAGGAACAAGGCTGATGGGAAGATTTATCAGATTTGTGTAATGGTAGGAGGTCTGTAACCCTGGTTGAATTAGTTACAATAAAGTGAACACTGAATTGGCTTAGAGATATTGATAATGGGATTATTCTAAAGCTACAGTCATCTGAAAATTATATTTCAAATATCAAGCAATTCAATTCACTCTTCTGAATGTTAATGTTAAAAATTTGTTAAACTTCTGATTTCTTTACGAAATTAAATCGGCCCCTTACCACCTGTTAAGCAAGTGTACTAGAAAAGACTGACCACAACACACAAACTTTAGATTTTAAAAAGACTAGAAAGAGATGAGAAATGCAACCTTCAATTCTAGAGCACTGAATGTCACAAAGTGAAACTTTCTGAGGTGATATCAGAAACTTATTTGAAAACCAGGAGTCTGCAAACAGAATAAAGAAATAAAATGGGATGTCTTAAAACAAATGAGTCACACAGTGAGTTTATATTAAAGAAGGGCTCAGATAATGACAGCAAATCAATCAACAGACAACGAACACAATGAGATGTAATACAATAAGGTAGTGTTCAAATTTTTGGATGTTTTAGGAAAAAAAGGACTGAAGATTATCACCGTTAGGAGAAACAGAATGTATCACAAATGAAAGAGTAAATTCTCAGGCTGCTCTCATTATGAAAGCAATGAACTCTCAATGTACTGTCTTTAGGTTGGTTAAAAACCTACCAATCAAGCTGGCAGATCAAGTGGGGATGAGATTAGATGGGGCAGAGCCTGGCCACTGTGCCTCACAGGAGCAGAATGACCCCAGGCTGTCCTTAAGTCACCGCAAGTCTTAAGAATACCAGGTGGCTCCGATGGTTTGAAGACCTCACAATGGGAGTTCAAGCTCTGAGGTCCTGAAGCCAATCTGGGCATCGGTGGAAAGTGTTTGAGGAGGGGGAAACAAAGTCACTTCAATCCTCAGAACTGTGACTGGAAACTGCGAGGAGTGAAGGAATAAGTTGTATATGAAAAGAACAAACACAGAAAAGGGTTAATACAGACAGGGTGACGGAAGGATAGAAGTGAGCCAGCTTAAAGTAATGACCCAGTATCCCATCATACTATTCACCCAGGAAAACAAGAGTAAGGAGTGATTAACTTAAAATGTCTGCAGTGGAATGCATGGTGGTGGTGGTGGTGGCTTAGTCGCTAAGTCAAATCCAACTCTTGCGACCCCATGGACTATAGCCCACCAGGCTCCTCTGTCCATGGGATTCTCCAGGCAAGAATAATGGAGTGGGTTGCCATGCCCTCCTCCAGGGGACCTTTCCGACCCAGGGATCGAACCCAGGTCTCCCACAGTGCAGGCAGATTCTTTACTGACGAGCCACCAGAGAAGCCCAGTGGAATGCAGTTATATCCAAATCTTTTCCCTTTGATATTATACATATCCCTGTGAATCTAGTCTGTAACTTTCTTAGTCATTTCCAAGAAAGAAATTAAAACTATGTTCCACATATACTAGCTATAAACTTATTTTTTATAGAAATCTGGGAGTTCTAATTTAAGCCATGGATGAAAAATAAAGCCCAATTTCATGCTTTAGATTCCTTCTTGATACCTCATAGAGCTGAAGACATGTATTAATTAAAACAAACAAAGCAATACAGAGCATGGGGTGGGGCAGACGAAGCTTCTGTGTGGCGCACAGATGCGATACCGCCCAAACCCTTCAGCTAGCCCCCTCTTCCTTCTCTGGCCACACACCCTGACCAATCTTGCATCAGTTCTCATCCAAATGACTTTCCACTTAACCTTATTTTTCCTCTTGCATGCCCAAGTCTCTTTCTGAAAGAAACAAAATATCTCTCCCTGCTTTTGACAAATCAGACTTCTTCATTTTCTTTTCTGCTGTTTTTGTCCTGCTATGAGCTCGACTACTGCTAATGTAATTTAAAAATAACATGGACAAGAAACTTGGCTAAAACTTTCATTAAAATTACCTTGAAAACTGAGACAATCTGGCCTCTTCGTCTCAATGATCCATGTAACTGGCTTTTTCATCACTAAGGAAGTAGCTTTGAGATGGAATCTGACACCTGAAGACAACTGAATATGACCCATACTCTCAATATGACATTTTCCCTCAACTTTCTTCAGGCAAGAGGGGAGGTGGGGGAGGGGGGAAATCACACTTACAAGTCCACTTATGGCTACAATCCAGATGTAGGAACCAGAGGTGAAAAGCTATAAAAGAAAAAAAAAGCAACTAAAAATGAAATTCAACTGCCAGTCACAGCATATTTACTTTTACATAACTATAGTCATTACCATTTATGTTGTCTTAATTATATATATTCTTAATATAAACAAACAGAAGATTACCAAATACTCTGTTATATAGAGGAAAATAATATACCAATTTTTCTTTTCTTTCCTCTTCTACCAAGACCTCACTCAGCTTTTCGATAGCCTAAAACAGATTGGTTGAAACCAGCTCACTCTTGTGCAAAGAAAAATAAGTGAAATTCAAGCACATTCTTGTTTACAAATGGACATTAACTGGTTTACACAAAGTAAAGTACTATATGGACAGAAATTATTAGCATTAACAACACAGAAAATATGTAGTCACCACCCAATGCTTAGTATCAAGTAATGACATATATTATAGTTCATATAATTCTCTTATTTCAATTTCTTATTATTGCTACTCTAGTTTTAGATGGAAGATGTCTGTCAGCACACAGGTCCGTGCCCAATGTTGCTCTGCTGAACCACTGAGCCTCTCATTCCAGTTCGGCCCAGAAAAGAGCGAACCAAGTAACAGGCCTCAGAGTTTGTTAGTAGCAAAAGTAGTTAGAAATGGTCTCATGAAATCTCTGCCTTTTTCAAATCATTTACATCCAAGGATTATGTTCAGGGTTTTTTTTTTTTTAAGTCATAAAACATCTCCCAAGTGTTTCTGCAAGAAAGAAAGATTTGCAGCCTAATAACAGGATAATATCGGGACAACCGGTAAAATTTGAATAAGACTTTATCAATGTTATTTTCCCAATTTTGTTAACTGAACAGTAGTTATGCAAGAGAATGACCTTATTTATAAGAAATACACTGAAATATAATATTGATACTGAAATATTTAGAGAATAAAATGAAGTCACATATGCAGACTAAAAATAAAGATTTGTATCTTAGTGTTTGTTCACAATTAGATCATTAGATCACTAGATAGGGAGTTTAAGCATTTCTGCTCATAGAGAAAGCAGCAGGTTCATTGCTGACATCAGTGCCAGATGAAAACCTCAAAGTCGTGCACATTTATCAAGGATAGACAGAAAAAAAAGATACATAGAAAGAAGACAGATACAAAGGTAAGAGATGGCAAAGCACAGGTAAAAAGGGGTCTGACAAGCTGTGCTCTTGTGTTAGCTCATGGAGAAATGAGCACTGGCTGCAACTCTAATCCCTTGATCTAAAATTTAATCCTTTGATTGAGCGTGGATGCTTGTTCAGTGTGAATGACTTTGAAAACAATAAGAATGAGAATTACATGGAAAAATATTTTTCTGTAGTCTTCTTCCAAAAGTACAGAAAACAATAACACTTCCGCAGCATTTGCTGTGTGTTTTTTCTCACTGCTGGGCTCCCCGAGGGGCGGATGCTGCACCTCAAGCTCCGTCTCATCCTCCATGGCCCCCAGCACTGGGCAGCACACGGCTGGCTCGTGGGCCCTGTGCACTGCAACGTACCCAACAAATGTCTGTGCTCTCCTGATAAGGACTACAGTCATTCCATCACTCACCTATGGAGCGTCCCGTGTCAAAAAGCTGCTGAGTAACAGAGGCACAGAAACGTGTGTGAAGGTTAGGAGGGGAGGAAACAGAAGTCTGGGGAATAAAAGGTTCACACTCACGTCAAGGTAGGGGAAGGGTGGGAGTCGATACTAGATGGGCAAGAAGAAATCCTGGATGCCATTTACACTAAAGAGTTTGAATTTTATCAAGAGGCCTGGGGCATCTCCACCTCTACTTTCTGCATCAACTTCTACCCCACCAAAAAAAAAAAAGGAAAAAAATGACAAAACAAAACCACTCATGATCTCAGAAAAACCAAGGGTGGCAGTCATACAGACATAAATTATTAATATTAGGAACCAAATGACTTAGTTTCTTATTACCTGTTCTGATTATGCCCCAAAACCCAATGCTACAATCTCTAAATCTTCAAATGACCCTGTAAAATAGATATCATTGTTCCCACTTTACAGGTGGGCAAATGGGGGCTCAGAAAAAGTGATGGAAAAGGAAAATAATTACCAGAGCAAGTACTTAAACCAATGTCCACTTGGCTCCAAAGACTTGCCACATTGCTCCACTGAATTCCTGCACTACAGGTAACGAAACAGTGTTTTCCACACTCAAAGCTGCTCTCTAACTAGAGTCAAAATGAGGACCAGAGGCTTCCATGACCCGACCCAAGTGTCAAGCTTGCGTATGCCATGTCAGAACTGGGACTTGGGTCTCTGCCCCTGGTCCAGGGGACTCTGCGACCACTGCATTCTGCCTTCTGTTGGAACATCTTGAAAAGAATTAAGCATGCCACTGCAAACTCTAGTAATAAGAGTAAAATGTAGAAATGGGCTCTTAGGTTATAAGAGTATTAGAGAGGACAAAGGGGAATGTAAAGCTACATAGGCTGAGAGATGAGGAATAAACGTATCTCATGAGAAATGGTTGTAAAAGTGGTAAGGAAACACCCACCCCAGATGGGCCATTGATAACACGTGAGAGCAGACAAGAGAAGGTGGAGGAAATGCTAAAGGTTAAAAGGGGAGGGAGGAGGGCACTGTACAGTGACACTGGTATCCGGTTTGATGTGTGTGGGATAAGGAATGTTATGAGTATTGACAGTGGATCAAAAGGCCAAGCCACATATGGTACCACAGGAAATAGCAGAATAAAAGTTTACATTAAAAGGTGTGAGAGTGAGAGAAAAGTGACAGGTGTAATGCTACAGGTATAAAACTGAAAATCACACGTATCTTCTATTCCTCGGCCTGGAACCTAGCAGAGAGCAATTAATATTCACTGAATGTTGGTGAAGACAATCTTTTTCGATTTAAGTCAAATAGTAAGTCCACTAATGGCCATCGGGTCAAACCATTTAGCGAATGGCGACAGTGCAATCAAGCCTGCGGCAGCACAGGAGTAACAGGGCTGGCAAAGCGCATTTGGTTCCTGCTTCAGAGCTTTATTTGTGACTCTGTATTCAATGAATTAATTTTGGCAGTGGCTCTCCACGTTTCGCCTTTGGACTGTTCTCATGTTTCCACTTCATACTGCGATTTTTGAAAAAGTACTTACTCGCAATTGTACAACAAAATTAAAATATTTTCCACCGATAGAAATTACAGTGAAAGCGCTTATCAGATTTCTAAAGGCCATGAAAGTATTCTAGTACCTTATATACCTTGATGTTCTTGTTCTGTAACACTTCCTTTGAACGTTTGATATAGATCATGAAGCCAAACTTATGGGAAAAAAAACTTTGTTTTCAAGGAGATCAAATGAGAAAAAGACCAAAAAAAAAAAAAAGAAGAGAGAGAGAGAGAGAGAGATCTGGTTAAAGAAATGTGAAGAGAAAAATGTATACTGTACCTGTAGTCCCAATATATAAATCAGTGTCTTGTTTGTGATGGACAACGGGCCCAGAATATGTGCCACTTGGACTCTTGGGATGGAGCAGTAAAATGGTACAAAGAGAGCAAACACAGGTGCCAGGCTATGCAAACAAATAAAAAAAAAATCACTATGGTATAATGCTCAATTTACAACACCAAGGGCAAATGTATATCTGAAGTAACACTGCTTATCATTTTATTTCGTTCTGAAAGCATGATCTTAGATACGCAAGTTGGTTTCTACATGTACAATACATCCAAAATAATTTGTACATATATAGAATATTTTATGAGAACTCTTAACTATCTAATCTTCGTTAACTCTCCCAAAGCTATTGCAAAGTAGTGGTTTGGCATCTACTAATGAACTATCAGCACTGTGAGAAAATGTAAAGCTGATGCTACGTTTTCTTCTTATGAATGACTTGAAATATGATGAAAGAAGTGAGACAAACCAAAATCAAGAAACATTACAGTTCATCATGGTAAAATGCAAAATCTTCATGTCAGACTTTGTCCAATTGTTTCACTGTAGCACCTGACAAGGCTTGTGTTCCTTTCCTCCCTTCCTCAAACATCTTCCTGATTTTGTCTTAAAACCCTGCTTCTTGCTGGTTTACCCATGATTTCTCCCACCTCTCTTTTACCTTCTCCAGGGTTCCACTGAAGCCTTTTCTCCTTGTTCTAGTCTCTCTCTGGATAACCCTAAGCCCTTCTATGCCTTCAACCAAAAAAAACGAAGTGAGTCCCCAAGGTGTCTGACTGTCCCCTCACCTTGGCTGTGAAATTCTATCTGATACCTTCAACTTGACATACTCAAAAGTCACAAACGTCTTTCTACATGAAGACTTGCTTCTCTTGAATCCATCTCCTAATACTGCCAACAGTATTTTCTTTCCCCCAATGCAGCTCTGATCATGTCACACCCCTGGTTAAAACCCTTCCTTCCACAGGCTCCCAGTATCCAAAGAGGAAATTCAAACATCAGGATGAACTAGCAAACCCTGTGATTCTTTCTTACCAGTGTGGTTTCCTACAACCATCCTCTTCTCCCTTCCCCTGATCTGGCCCATCCCCTCTCACCCTTTCCCCGTCCAGATGCTCCCTGGGTACCTTAACCTCTGCTGACTACTCACTGATGCAGGTTATTCTTTCAACACGAAAGTGTCTGTTGCACTTTTTCTGCTTAGGAAACTTACGCTTATGGTGTAAGACAGAGCTCAGCTCCTTCTCCCCAGTGATTTCTCCAACGCTCCTGGGGGTTAGCTGCTCTCCTTTGCCCTTGAAGCTACCCCAATTTCACTGTTTGAGTGAATCAATGAATCAATCACCTGGGCGCTGTGTGAGAGGCAGCAGGCCAGGTACAGGAGCTCCATCAACACCTCTAGGTAGGAAGCAGCCCCTAAACTCAAGGAACTAGCTCCAGGATTGCAAACACACATTCCTACCAGGGTAAGGCAGGAGACATGAATGGGTCCTGTGGTTTGTACACACACTTAACACACATTCTTCACTAAACACTTGTTAATTTAATTAGTCTTTTATTTCCTCATATTTTGGATGAGTGGCATCACACAAAGAAATTATTGCATCATAAGAAAAATGCAAGAAATATTTTTCACTTCCACAAAGAAATGTTCTCATTACCATTTCTGTGGAAACAACAGGTCCCTCTAGAACATTTTCCCATCTTTGATAGAGAATATGTTATTAAAAAATCATCCACTGTCCCTTCTACTCTTAAGCAAAACAGAAAGCCAACACATGTTGAAAATGAAGTAGACAGCAGCGCTCTGAAACTTCTTCCATTGGTCCTTGCTGAATAGATGCATCTCTCTTTAAGGTGTGAAGCCATACAGCAGGACTTGCTTTTGTTTTAAAGAGCCCCTTTTCTTGCTTTATTATTTTAATGGGATTAAGACATACAGTTTCATAGATACACTCAAACTATGGCCTGTTGGTTTCTTGGTAATAATAAGAAAACCCTATTTTGGTTGCACTTGGGAAGTTTCTGACTAAGGAACATGTCTTTAGGTACTCAATTTATAGAAGGTCTTCTGTTAACATATAGCAATAAATGTAAAGAGTGACGGTATAATAAAACATCTGAAGCAGAGTTCTTATTTGAGGGTACATTTCAATGTAAACTAAGAAATATTGATAGGAATTTTAATGACCACAGTTTATATCTTATATACCAATAGAAGAAGTTTCAAAATTCCTTAGAAGTTATTCATCACTATGTAGTTTTAAATGATGACTAAATACTAAACCACATCTACCCAATATACAAAAGCACATATTTCAGACCATGGTGGTACAGGCCGCTCTGTAGAAAATTTCCATTGCTATTTCTATACACACCAAGTGTTATTAGTCACTGACCAGTCTTTCTCTTTTCCTTATTTTACAACAACATTTGTTCTTTATACTGTCAACAGTAACTCAGCTTGACCTTTTCATATTGAGAACAGCTAACTTCTGGAAGTCCTATTTGGCTTAAGCATACAGGGCTGAAGTACAAAGGAATACACGATGTAAAGGATTCATTCACTAATGTCACTAACATTTGTTGAGTATCTCCTATATACTCACAACTGTGCTTGACAGAACAAATAAAACAGAAGCACTCAGGTCAGGTCACAAATGTCCATCTTGCATTTTCTATGGAAAAAGGACAGTGACTCCACTTTTATAGTACAACTAAAGAAATCCTGGTAACTTTCAACAATAAAAATAAGGTTTGTGAACTCATGAAACTATCTCATAGTAAACATCAACAGCATCTCAAAGGACAATTACCCTGGCAACCTCTTCTTTATATACTGACTACTCTAATACCAAAAAAAGGGGAGATCCAGTTTGCTAGAACATTTATTTTACCTAGACAAGTTCATAAAATAAAAATGCTTTACTTAACAAAAATTATTTTGAAAACTAAAAGAGAAAAACCCCACCAGGATGGCTTTTCAACAAATTGAAAAACTTCTCAACAGTGTCTTCTTCAAGGCTTCTTCAATCCAAATTTTTTTTCTTTTTTCCCTTCTTTTTTATTTTTTAAATTATGAAGCATGATAACATATTTACAGGAGATTTGGAAAATACAGAACAAAGTTACATATAGTTTCACTATATATTACAATTATTTTTTAAGTAGAAAAATTAAGATTTTTGGTTGTAGTTTCAACATCAAACTCTCAAAAATTAATAGAATGAACAGACAGAAAAGTAGAAGGATACAGCAGATCTGAAAAGCACTAAGAACAACTCAACATAATTAAGATCTATACAAATTTCACACAACAACAGGATACAAATTCTATTCAAGTTCCCACAAACTATAAACCAGGAGACACTGTAACATATCCAGGGACATTAAACAAGGTTCAAAAATTTCATGGTCTAAAGGAGTCTTCAAACCAAGTTTTAAAGGAACTAGTTCTGTAAAAGTTTACCACACTGACCAACCAAATGATAAAATCTCTGTATTTCCCCCTCAGAGAATTTTTATACTAGGAGTTACCTTGGTGATCACTTAGTTCAGTACTTTTATTTTACATAGTGGCATGGGGTCCCAAAGAACTTGGGTGCGCGGTACTCTTCTGCTTGACAAGGTTTCTCTATGCATCTTCAGCACGGTAGAGCTTATAATAACCTCAATGGAATAATACACTGAGAGGCTAGAAGTCCTCAGCACTTTGACAGAATCCTGGAGTGGGAGGGTCTCTGAGGGCACAGAGTCACAAATCCCTACCAAATGATTCAACTCTCTCTACAACAGCCCTCCAAACAGACACCTGGTTTATGCAAGCACCTACAGAAGAGATGGATTTCCAAGGTGGCTCAGAGGTAAGGAATCCCCCTGCCAGTGCAGGAGACTCCAGTTTGATCCCTGGGTCGTTCCGGAAGGTCCTCAGGAGAAAGAAGTGGCAACCCACCCCAGTATCCTCGCCTGGGAAACCCCAGACAGAGGAGCCTGGCGGGCTACAGTTCATGGGGCTGTAAAAGAGTTGGACATGACTGGGCACACAAAAACAAGAGGCAACGTGCCCGCTTTTTTTAAATGATCCCAACTTTTGAGAACTGCTTTCCTACTCTGATTTGAGAGCTGTCTCCTGTGACCTCCTCTTACACGCCTTCCTTTTACCCTCTGGAGTTAAGAAGATTGACACATGCAACCTAAACCCTTTACTGTGATCATGAAGATAATGATCACATCCCTGCCAAGCCTGGACATGCTTAGTTCATTCCATCTTTCCTCTTAAGACCTGGGACCCAGAGCCCACACCTCCTGGGCAGGCTCCAGGTCATCCATGCCTTGGCAAAATGAAGTTTCTTGAGCTCACTGAGAACGGCCAGGTCATCTCTCGTATTCTGAGAGCTCTGTTTCCATTAATTTAGCCTGCAAATCAATCTGCATGTTGATATCCATGTGGCACTGTTGGTTTAAATTGAGTCGATTAAAACTTGAAGGTGAACAGCACAGGTCTGTGTGCGTAACAGGTGATTTTAGCTGTAAGACGCCCCCTTCACCCCCTCCCTTGTTAACATGGGTTCACGCAGTCACTGATCCAGTCGGTTGGTCTCCTGCCTAAAAACACCAACTAATCATTACACACATGCAAAAGAGCATTTTCCTCCACTCACCACAGAAACTTCTATTTCTTTCTCATTAAGCTGCTGATAAGATACAGAATGAGTAAACTACTCCCTGCACCAAGTTTCCAGACAGAATTGGCAAAATTGACTTTTTTCCTTAAAACATGTTAACACTCATACTTCACACGTAATATGGATACAACATCATCAGTAGCTATATTCCTTTTTTTTCCCCCCTGGTTAAGGTTTATTTCTTCAGTCTCTTCCAAAGAATTTTTTTTAAACTTAAATCTTTATAGAAAAATTTAGAAAGTTCCATAGATATCAACAAGTCATAAATTCCAAGGGGTTTTTGGATAACCCTTTTCTTAAAAAAAAAAAATCACTAACAGAAAAATTTCACTTCCCATTAAAAAAAAAGTGCACACGCACACATGAGGCTAACTGATCATTACTATGCTCAGTCACAGGGTGACAGAAAAAAAAACCGCCACCATAAAAG